GGACCATCCGTGCTGCATCATGTGCAGCAGGTGTGGATTGTCGTCGATGTTCGTGTTGGCGTCCATACAAATGAAATACGGGGCTGAGCCGACCCTCGCGGCGGCGCAATCAGCAAGCCGAAATATATCGGTGCTGTCCCCTCCAGCGACCCCGTAGAGGCTCGCAATGTAGATCCCAGCGGGACCGTGGTTGTTTCGTCGCCGCCTGCGGCGGTGCTGGGTGCAGAGCGGGAGGAAGGCCTCGTGCCATCGTTTCTTGGCCTTGAGGGTGGCGATACAGGTCGCAATGTCGTCGACGGTGGAGTCGACGATGGCGTCCTTAGAGAGGATGGCAACCCCGCCCGAGGCGCCGGTGTTGCCCTCGACCGTGTGGTCCGTGCCACCGTGAGCAGCTTTGCGCTGGGCACGCGCCAGGTCCAGGTCAGGTCCCAGACTGGCCTGGTATCCTCCGTGGTGTGGATTGGCGGCGTTGGTGGCGATGGCTTGCCTGGTAGGCTTGGCATGACGGGTCTCCTGCAGCGCTATGACTGCGGCGTTGTGGTCAACACCTAGGGCGGTAATGGTTGGCCAGTTCGCTGGAAGACTCGTGATGTTGAGGCTGACGAGGTGGATGGAGCGACCTGGCCCATCTCCGTCGGTGGAGCTGGAGTTAGCACGCCCCGCACGGTGGAGGGCGGCCTGGCCGTCACCCAGGTAGGAGGCTTGGCCACAGGAGGAGCTCATGGCGTCGCAGCAGATTGGCTTGGACGGGGCTGAAGCCGCCGTCGGGCCAAAAGTGGAGGCAAGGCATGGTCGACGCTGCGCCGGGGGGGGTTCATAAACATCGGCAAAACTGCCTCGAAAAAACCTCCTCACTCCTGTACCGTGGGGGACGGAGGGAGGAAAGGTGAGATGTCCAGGATCCTCTTGCTCTGCCCGAGTCTGAAACGCAACGTCAGGGTACAGGCTGTGGGACTGGTCGCCAGTCTGCTCTGCGTTCTGAACGGTTTTCCAGTTAGGGCGTCGCGGCCGCCGAAGCACGGCTGCAAGACAGATGGCGCAGCAGGAGACGCAGGACGTGACTGCAGGTATGGTCAGGGTGAACGGGCTCTGCCGCTTGTACTCTCGTCCAGAGGCCAAGGGCACCGCTTGAGCGCGCGTCCGAATGCCAACAGTGTTCCTTACTCTCGGGACAGGCGTAGGTGCTGATGCTGACGATGCCGGTGAAGGAGCCATAGGCCGTGATGGTGTCGGTGCGATCGCCGTAACTGTCGATGCTGCCTGCCCCCAGGTGTTTTGGTACAACTGGGCCCCCAGGTGTTTTGGTACAACTGGGCCCCCTGTGGTCGCTGTTGCCGTCGCTGTGAGCGTCGATGGAGGATTCGGAGCTGGCGTCGATGCTGGCTGCAACTCTGGTGAGGGTACCAGCGTAGGCACAGTCGCGGGTGCTGACGCTGGTGGTGCTGGCGTAGGAGCTGTCGTCGGTACTGGCCTCGATGCAAACGTCGGCGCTGGCGTCGAGGCTGGTTGCAACTCTGGCGTGGGTATCGACGTAGGCGCAGGCGTGGGTGCTGACGCTGGCAGTGGTGTCGTAGGGACTGTCGTCAGGACTGGCCTCGATGGAGACGTCGGGGGTGGCGTCAATGCTGGCTGCAACTCTGGCGTGGGTAGCGGCGTGGGCGCAGGCGTGGGTGTTGACGCTGACGGTGCTGGCGTAGGAGCTGTCGTCGGTGCTGGCCTCAATGCTGACGTCGGAGCTGACGTCGACACTGGCTGCATCTCTGGCGTGGGTACCGGCGTGGACGCAGGCGTAGGGGCTGACGCTGGCGGTGTTGTCGTATGAGCTGTCGTCGGTGCTGGTCTCGATGCAGACGCCGGAGCTGGCGTCGATGCTGGCTGCAACTCTGACGTGGGTACCGGCGTAGGCACAGGCGTGGGTGCTGACTCTAGAGAGAGAGAGAGAGAGAGAGAGAGGGAGAGAGAGAGAGAGAGAGAGCAGAAAAGATGCAAATCCCGAATAGCATCCCAGCCAAATGCTCCATCCTTCTGCGGAATCTCAGTTAACCGCGAAGCGTGCCAGGAAAGAAGAGCCGAGCTGCGTGCCCGGATAGCGGAGTACAGCAAGACGAAAGACTCCGTAGTCCAGGGTGCCGACGGCGGTGTAGGAACAGCTCCAATCCCAGCACGCCGCTGCTGCAGCTTCGCCTCAGGGATGAAGGGCGTGCGTGACAAGTCGTTCGGATACCCCCAGGGTGGCACACCCCTTCGAAAAGCGACACGCCGAACTCAGTGTCGAACCATCTCGTAGTCCCTGAGGCCAACGGCTTTCCACCCCCAGTCGAACCGTCGAGAGCGCCGTCGGCCGACTCCCCAGCAAAGGGGCGAAAAGCGGCATTGCCCGCATGTTGAAAAGCGATCTGCCATGCAGCAGTAAAGTCGCGCTGCTCCCAAGCCTCATCACATTCTCGTTGACAGGAGACGCTGGCGTTCGCGAGAACTGGCACGAAGAAGATCGCGAGTGCACCGGGTAATTCGACGGAGCGCGTCAAGCCGAAGAGTGCCAGCAAGCCCCGCACCAGGGCGGCACGAATAGACAAGTGCGCCTTTTCCCAAGAACTGCTGAAATCCGTCAGAAAATAACGCTCCCCCCCCCCCAACCCCAAGGACCCTTAGGGGGGGGGGGTCGGCGGCCTTGCCAGACACCGCCGAGCAATCGAAAGACAAAAAGAAATCAGCGACTCGCTGCCTCGCCGTGCGTCGTTCAACGATTGCAGCTTTATTTTCAACAGAGAAATAAGCCGATGCCAAATCACTGCGGCGTAGCATCCAGCAGCAATCGTGCGAATATTGACCCGCAACTCCTCGTCCAACCAGTCTATGCCCTCAACGGTCGCGCCGTGCAAAAGGTCGCCCCACTTGCCAGCCACAGACTCCTCGACCTCGATCAAAAACTCTCGCTTCTGGTGGCCTCGCCGGGCGCCAGACGCGAGCGCTTCCTTGTTCCAAAGGCAGCGTTGACCATGCAGTGCACGAGGTATGCCTTGGTAGGCTAGGCGGAAGTCCACCTCCAGGCGAAGAGGCCGATGATCTCGCGGCCCAGCCGCAGGAATAAATTGAAGAAGGTCTCCAGCGTGATGCCAAATTTCCACGGAGACAACACGGGGCATCTGCTGTGAACCAAGAGCGATGTAATCCACCGTCGAAGGGTGAGAATTAGGTCCGTAAAACGTGGCGCCGACGTTCTGCATGGAATTGACGATCGTCATATTGGGGCCGGCTTCCAAGAACTGCCATCCGTTGTAGTTCATCGGGTCCCGGAGAGAAGGGCCCAGTGCATGATGCGCCACAGGGTGCCGGAAATCTGCGCCGCCCTCGTCTCAAGAAAAGTCGATGCCGAGATGCGCACTAGCGCCAAGCAGCCAAACTTCGGTAGTGCGGCTGCCGCCGACCAACAGACGCTGTTTGGCCAACCAAGAGAAGCACGCGTCAGCAGCGGATTTGCCATGCTTCGACAGTGGATTGACCGGAGCAGCCGCCACATGTGAGAGGATGTCAAAGTTCCATCACTGAACATGGATGCCCCCACGCCGGTATCCCTGCGCAGCACCAGTGCGCACCCAGCTGATTTATTGGTGAAAGCCCCGCGACCGCACGAGAAGTGCAGGACGTCGTAATGATCGGACGCCCTCATGACCTCCGTCGTGAGCCCGTTGAAGCGCACCTGTGTACCAGATCACGTGCGCGCCAATCATCATAAAGTCGCAGATATCCATGAGCCTTCCGCCCTGCTGGAGCGACCAGCAATTGTATTGCATAAGTGTCAGCGCCATCGAAAGCGCAGGGGGCAGATGGAGCGGTGGCCACTGTGGCCAAAGAGTGTGGAATATCGCCAGAAGGCCAAAAGAAATGACTTGAGCCAAGATGGCCTTTTATTTATTGCTTTTACACACACACACATATATATATATATACATACATACATATATATATATATATGTATACACACATATGCGGGAACACCCGGATAACCCAGCCAGCACACGAGCGCGGCCACAGGAGGGCACGTTTCAACAACCAGGACAAACCCGCTAATGTCTTAGCAACGCGAATACTTAAGAAATGCCCTTGGTGCAGGCACGGTCTGAGAATCCCCCGAGCGGCCCAAAAGAGGCCCCCCCAAGAGATCCCCCAGAGGCCCAGAAGAGGCCCGAAAACGGCCCCCAAGACGCTTCAAAACTGCCTCCAAGAGGCTCCACCAGGTCCCCAAAAGGCTCCCAAGACGCCCACAAGAGTCCCGGGATGGTGCCCAAAAAGCCCACGACGCCTCAACCGTAGACTCCCCGCCTCTTCCCGGGGTCGGCAGAATGGCGCAAGCTTCTTGAATTAAGAAACGCTCTTGGTGCAGGCACGGTTTGAGGGAACCAGTGATTTGAATTGTTCAAGGCATTGGAGTTCTGTGAGGGGGAACGATAGAGAGGACCAGCTCAGGGGAGGGGAAACATGGAGCTTGAATCGGCGATACATCGCCGATGGATCGGCGACTCACCCCCGATATTGAAATCGCGCGTTCTCAGGCCGATGGGCGATTGGGTGTCGATGCATCCTTCCCTGAGCCTATCCCACCCTAACTCACGTTGCCCCTGAGTCCGGGCTGAGGCCCTGGGCATTGACGCCACCAAGCTTCCAGAACAAGGAGCGACCCTGGGCCTCGCCCCCTGGGCAAAGACACTCCTCATGCCAGCGACCCGGCCACCCCAGCAGCTCTGAGGATCACTCCTAGCACGGGGAGCCGCAGCCACACCAAGAGCCCAGACCTCCGACGCCGCGAAACTTATCTTGTTCCCAGCGCCGTGCCTCGAATTCGGTCCCCATGGGGACCTTTCCGGGCACCGAGGCCATCAAAAGACGACCCGGGACGAAGAGGCGGTCCCCGGGGGAGGGGTCGAGGGCTCTGGGCCCGCGTACTGCAACAATCAGATCGTCGAATCGAAGGTCAGGGGAGGATCAATAGAAAAAGGCGCCTTGATGTACGCGCCGTCCAGCGTGACTTGAACCGGGAATGATCCTGCCAGGATTGTGCCGATCAGGACCGTCACTGTGCCATCGTCGTTGTCGGTAATGTATTCGGCCAAGTTCTCCCCAAAATATACCACCCTGAGCGTGTCCCGCGGTCCGGCAACCCAGACCCGGACCAGCGACCAGGGAAGCGATGGCGCTGACAGATTGCTCCACCGCAGACCCCCGACGTCATGATTTTCGCACAACGTCGGCCACCGGAGGTCTCGACCCATTCCCCAGGACAAGCTCATCATTCCGGGCCGCTTTGCTGACGCACCCAGGGCCCAGCGAGGGCCCCGAGGGGCCAAAAATAAGGGAAACAACAAAAAGACCGTCGCGATCTTCACCACGCGAAGAGGTTTGGTTGTCGGGTCATACTCGGGTCTCCATCGGGCATTCGGGACGATCCAGGCACCCCCAGAACGCTCTCGGCGAGGCGCAGCTGCTGGAGAGCCTCCCGACGTTGAAACAACGCGGAGAGCTAACGAACATGCCCGAAAACCTCGAACCTCGAACCCACACTTCTTCCCGACGTGAGGGGGCCTGAGGCAGTCGAAACTGCGCGGCTGGACCACTGGGTCACCTGGCCTCTTTCGGCGACTCCGGGTGTAGTTTGCAGAGGGTGTGGTTTTTCAACTAGCACCCTGGGGGGCATGGGAGCACCCTGGGGGGCGGGCGGGGACCTCGATAGAGCTCTCCGCCACGCCCCGAAGAGGCCCGACGAGGACGGTGTCGCACCCCCCAGGCCCCAACGATGCCGATCGCAAACCACACCCAGCGTAACCAGACCCTTTGTAGTCGCCGACCCTTGCCCGAGAAGAGGCTGCCCACTCAGAAGACTTAGAAGTCCCCCGGCCTTCGGAGAGGTGTTCTAGGTCTTCCCCGAAGACAAAGAAAACCTGTCAGAAGGCACGAGACCATCTGAGCAGTCCCGCCGTCTTCTGAGAGGGCCTTCTCCTTTTCACTCCCCTCCCTCGTTCACCGCCGAAATTTGGCAGTCGCTTGGCCAGATTCCTCCTCCTCCTCCTCCTCCTCCTCCTCCTCCTCATCATCATCATCATCATCACCACCATCATCATCATCATCATCATCATCATCATCATCATCATCATCATCATCATCATCATCATCATCATCATCATCAGCACTATAATCATCATCAACATCAACATCATAAACATCAGCATCCTCATCCTCATCCTCATCATCATCATCATCATCATCATCATCAGCATCATCCTCATCCTCATCATCATTATCATCATCATTATCAGCAGCAGCAGCATCATCAGGCTCATCATCATCATAATCAGTATCAGGCTCTTCAAGCTCATCATCACCATCAGCAGCAGCACCATCATCATAAACATCGTCATCAGCATCATCATCCTCGTCATCATCATCATCACCATCAGCAGCATCATTAGCATCCGCAGTATCATCCTCATCATCACCATCAGCATCACCATCATCTGCATCATCACCACCACCAGCATCATCATCAGCATCATCAACAACAGCATCAGTATCCTTATTAGCATCCTCATCATAATCGTCATCATGACCATCATCATCATAATCATCATCATCATCATCATCATCATCATCATCATCATCATCTTCATCATCATCATCATCTTCATCATCTTCATCAGCAGTATCATCATCAGCATCATCACCACCATCAGCATCAGCAGCATCAGCATCAACACCATCATCATCCTCATCATCATCACCATCATCATCCTCATCATCATCACCATCACCATCATCGTAATCATCACCATCATCATCATCATCATCATCATCATCATCACCAGCATCATCATCATCATCATCATCATCATCATCATCATCATCATCATCATCATCATCATCATCCCGGGCCCTCCTCCTTCCTCTTCTCACTATTCGATATCATCCTCTCTACCGGCACACATCCCTCCAGGGCCATACCCTTCGATCCCCCCCTCCTCCCTACTGCTCTTCCGAGCCCCCCTCAAACTCGAAGCCGACACGTCTACAAGGGTGCGCGCTGACCCAGAGATTCAAAGAAGATTCGGCCGCGCGTGCCCACGAGGCGATGCGCGGTGCGCGACGCGCGATACACAGTCATCTTCGCGACCTCGCGCCAGGCCGCGAGGCGCCGTGGTCGCGCGGCCACCGTCGCGCCCGTGCGGACGGCCCAGGGCGGCGACATCGCGAGGCGCTCGCGGCGATGTGGCCGCCACCGAGCGGACCTTTGTGGCCGGATGCCATGGTGAGGACCCAGCCATGCTCGCGTCTTGAACAAATCAAGACGGGAGGCTTTTCGCTACGTTCGGCCTCCGGGGGTCCTCTCCGGGCCTCGAGACCCTAAAAAAACGGCTCGGGATGAAAGCCGGGCCCGAGAACAGGTTCGGGACTTCAGGGGGCCGGGTGTTGAAAAAATCAGGACGTCGCATGTCTGGGGATGAAGGCCGACTGGGCAGGCCACGGGTTGAGGCTCTCAACGGAGGCCGTGAGGTTGTTCTCGTACTGGTCCCTCGGGGTTGGGGGGCAGCAGCAGCAGCCGAAGCCGGAGCGGTAGGCACGAGCGAGCGAGGGTGCGACTCCGGCGAAAACAGAGGGGCCAGCGCGGGCGGGCTGGAGATATCAGGGGAACGAGGGGGAGGGGGAGGAGGAGAAGCAGAACGAGTAGGAGTACGAGTGGGAGGAGTAGGGAGTGGAGGAAGACGACGACAACGACGACGACGACGGCGACGACGACGACGACCGCTACGAAGAGGACGAGGAGGGGGGGACCTCAGCTGAATCGTTGCTGCGACACGCGTGCCGGCGACGTAGCTGTCCTCGAGCCCGTAGATGATCGAGGAGCCGGCGTGCAGATCGCCGGGGGCGACGTATATAGGGAACGGGCCTTGAAGGGGAAGGAGGAAGAGGGTCAGAGGAGGAGCAGCAAACGGGTGTTGTCAGAGGTGGCCCCATCGCGAGGTGGCCCCAGCGTCTCCAGGAAGGCCATGGTACCCTCCAGAGCGATCCCGACGAGACCCTGAGAGCCCCAGGGGGGGGGGGGCCGGCTCCAGAACAGCACGAAGGTCAGGAAGCGCATTGGACCAGGATCACCTCTGGCAATCTTCCCAAACCCCGACGCCATGATTTTTTCACGTGGACCCCTGAGGTCTTGACCTATTCCTCGGGACCAGCTTTTCATCCTGAGTTGTTCCTCGACAGTCCCGAGGCACGGTGAGCGCCCCCAGGAGCCCGAAATCAAACAACAAAAAACAACAACTGCAACAAACATCAACAACGGGGGGCAGGCAACCAAAACAAAAAAACATGGCGTGAGGATGTTGTTCACGATGCGAGGGGGCCTGGGTTTAGACCGACCTGGCCCAGGCCCACAGTGGAGGTGGGGAGTCAGGGGCAACGTGGCGGTAAGGAACTGCCCGGGATGAAGAAGCCGGCCCTGGAGAGAAGGGGTCCAGATCCCCAGGGGGGGTGCACGTCACGACAGAAGTCTGAGGAGAGTGTTGACTCCCTGCCCAGAGGCCTCTCAAATGGGGTCCGAGTAGATGGGATCGGAGGATCGTGCCGCATCGCCAATGCATCGCCGATGATTCGCCGATGCAGCGGCGGTGCATCGTCGACGTCGGCGATACATCGGCAACGTCCACGTGGAGAAAATCAAGCTCAACATCGAGCCGCCTCGCCGATGCATCGGCGATGCGGTGCGATCCTCCGATCCCATCTGCTCGGACCCTATCTGGGAGGCCTAGACCCTGGGCACGGTTCAGATATACCCTCTGGGCCTGTGGAACGAGAGAGCGGGAGGATCAGTACAAAACATCCCAGCATCGACCACGGGTGTGGAAACACCAGCAGGAGCAGGAGCTAACAGGGGATACGTGGACCCCTGTCCCAGGCCTCGTGGGGTTTTCGGATGGACCAGAAATTTGAAGCACATCACGGGATATACGAGGGGGGGGAGTCCATCCTCGATAGGGGTGCGTCCGAATAGCCCCCTGGAGGTATATCCACAGGTTTCCCCCTTTGTCTGAGCAGCCAAACTTGTCGGACAGAACTCGGGGATTGGGGGAGAAAAATCGCCCGCAAGGAGCAGGAGCAGGGGGAGAAGGGAACGGCCTTGGAAGGCAGAAACCGTTCCCAGCGACGTCGGCTCTACCGCCGTCAGGTTGGACACCTCGACGCCATTGGCCAGCGAATTCGACTCCAGCACCTGCACCGAGACGTAGCGGTCCCCGCTGATGGTGGGCACCACGCTGCAGGTGAAGAGACCCGTGCTGCTCGCCACGGCTGTGCAGGTCCTGTGGGGACAAAAACCCAGACGCCCTCGCGTCGTGAAAGAACACGCCGGGATCTGTGTCCATTTCAGGCCTCCGAGGGCCCTCGCTGGACCCCAGCACCGTCAAAGAAGACTCAGGACGACAAGCTTGTCCCGGGGAATGGGTCGAGACGTCGGGGGATCCACGCAGCGCGAAAAAAAAAGACGTCGGGGATCTGGCGACCTGTGCTGGGGCGTTTTCTGACAAGGACTACAGCGTAGGCGAATTCAGACGTCGCGGCGAGGGGCTCCTGGGAGGCCCAGACAGGGGGAAACGAGGGAGGGGCATCGATATCGGCATACGCTTCTCCTCTGGGGTCCCCTCGTCAACCACCGATGTGGGTGGCTCGTTGGTGACAGAGACGGTGAGCACGTCCGGCCACGAGGAGAGCAGGTTGCCGTAGGCGTCGCGCAGCTGGACCTGAAACGTGATCGCCACGCCAGCCACGGCCGTCGCCGGCGGCATGTTCTCCTCAGTGATCGACTTCGGGCCGTACGGGGCAGCTGCTGAGGAGCCTCTCAGCGTGAAGGGCGACCCCTGCATGTTCTCCTCATTGATCCTCACGTACAACTTGTGCATCCCCTCCCGCAATGCGTTGTAGCGTACTTCGTACACGCCGGAGTCAGCGTACGTCACCTCTCCGAAGAAGTATCGTCCGAACTCATACGTGTTGACGCTGGTATCATCGAGCACAGCCATGGTGGTGTTCATAGTGTAGTACTCCCACTCTATCGACACGCTGATGTTGCACGAGTCGTCCGCTAAAGGATTCCCGTATGCGTCCCTCGCTTGCACGGCAAACTCGGCAGGCGTTCCAGCCACGAACTCGTAAGTTCCCGAACCGGTCGTTGTCGAATGGGCTGGGGAGACACCGCCTGGGCTAACGACGTGCTCGAAAGGGCTGCCGAGGATGGGAATGCCAGTGGAGCCGAGGGAGACGGTGAGAGTGTATGTGTCCACATTGCTCAGCATGAACTCGACCTTGTACAGCCCGTCCATGGCATCCGCCACGACGGGCAGCGAGACGGTGGTAAAGGGTTCCTCGCCCTGCCAGGCCGCTTGGAATATGTCGGTGTTGGTGTTCATGTTATTGCCCGCAGCATCCTTTGCCTGGATGTAGAAGGTGCACAGCTGCAGCGCGATGGACGCATACACGCAGTCCCCGAACGCCTCGCTGCTTCTAGCATCCACCGCTCCCGTCGTGACCTCCACCAATATGGGCCCATCGGAGATGAAAGGTCCCTTGTACAGCTTGTCAGCAGGGATGGGGCTCTTCGGTGTGGAGAATGAGGCCCATTGCAGCTTCATCAGGGCCAGCCCTGCGACCTCGCGGTACTCGAGCCGCACCGACGTCAGCTCGCCGGCGGTCAGCATGGCGGAGCCCCAGAACTCCTGGCAACACTCGTCCCACTTGTCGATGATGCTAACGCCGTCGATCCAGAGCCTCACCGAGTCGTCCACCTCCACGTAGAACGTGTAGTTTTCGGAGTAGTCCGGCATCACGAAGCCAGTCCACCGCACCGACAGGAAGTCCGAGGCCTGGCCTGCAATGGCCCCAGTGCCCCAGTCCAGCACCATGTCTGGGTCCTGCTGCGCCACTATCGGCATGCCGTAGAGCCACTGGTTGTCCCAATACTGCCCGAGGAGACCTCCCGCCTCGATTGCGTGGATTAGCACCGAGTACTTCCCGGCATTCTGCAGGGTGTACGACAGCAGATACGCACCCTCGCTCTCGTACTCGGAGTGCACGCAGCACAAGGGGTCTCCGAGGACGTCCTCTGCGTAATCTGGGTGAGGAGCCTCGACGCGGACGCAGATGGTCCCAGTGATATCGAGCGCGCAAACGTCTTGCACGGAGAGCACGAACCTCCTGAGATCCTGGGTGTCGTCCAACCCGGTCGTAGGGTTCACGGACTGCAGGGCGATGGTCGTCTGCACATTGGAGAGCAGGGCCGTCTCGACCTGCAAAGTGCGGGACAGCGGCGCCGCCATCATGTCCTCGATGGTCGCGGAAGCCTGCGCGTACGCGCTCCTGCCGACGCGGTTCTCCGCGTACACCCGGAACTGGTAGGCGACGGTCGTGTGGAGGCCCTCCGCGAGGAAGCTCATGACACTGGGGGCGTTGGTGCCTCAGAGGAGGAAAAGATGACAGTATCGCTACTCGTCCTGGAGATCCCTCGTCGCCACGGCGGGATTCAAATGCCACTAGCCCTCTGGGCGTCGGTGGTTTAGGGAGTTTCCTCTTCCACCCCTCCTTCTTCCCTTCGGGGAGGGGGTTACCCCTCCCCCTACCCCCTCCCCTGGACCTGGACGGGGGGGGGGTCGCGAGGTGTCTGGGCGTCCAAAACGGCCTCGGCGAGGAAGCCAAAATCATTGGTTTTACTATGGTTTGGGCCCCATTTTGGCCTCCTGGGGAGGGGGTGCTGTAATTAGTACCCCCCCCTCCTGTGATCGATCTCACCCAAGATGGCCCAAAGAAGCGCACAGGAGGCCCCCAAGAGGCCCCAAGATGGCCTTAAGATGAGATGGCCTCAAGAGGCCAACAAGAGGCCCCCAGGAGGCCCCAAGAGACCCCCAAGAGGCCCTAAGAGACCCCCCAGAGGCACCCAAGATGCTCCAAGAGGCCTCGGCGAGAATGCCCAATCATTGATCTTACGAAAGTTTTAGCCACATGTTGGCCTCTTGGGGGGGCACTGATTCAGATGACTCCAAGAGCGCCTGGGAGAGCCCAAAATGACCTCCAAGATGGCTCAAGGTATCCCAAGATGTCTCATAATGGCTTCCTCTGTGTGCTGCCCACTTCCCTGATCGAGGCAATTCCTCTGGGCATCGTTTCTGGATGGGCTGGCGGGGATTCGCGAAGCGTCAACAACTCCTGGTCAGAACGCACCCCAGGGGAGGCCCGGGGAGTAGCGGTATCATTCCTTTTTTCCCCCCCAGTGCCGTCGTACACGCTCTGCCAGACTCCGTCCCCTCCAGCCTCCATGTGCACGTGGTAGCCCAGCACCGGCGAGCCGCCGTTGTCGGGCAGCTGCCACCTCACCTCCAGCGCATCGGGGCCCCGCTTGGTGATGGTGGGCAGCACTCCCTGGAATTCGGGGAGGCCGGCGCTGATGAAGGTCACCGCCGCGCTCCAGAGGCCCGGCGTGGTGTCGGCGTGCACGCCTCGTGCCCTGAACATGTAGTTCCGGTCGGTCACCAGATTGGCCGCCGTGAACTCGGTGTTGCAGGGTCCTGCGTACGCCTCGTCGTTGGTGTCGCCACCCTCGCCGTTGTTGCGGTAGACCTCGCAGGTTGCCGCATCTGAGGGCGCCGTCACGTACATGGTGATCGATGCGTACGTCTCACCCGCGCTCGAGGTCACGTACGTCGGCGGGATACCGTCCCCTACGCCCGTCGCCTGATCCAGCAGCAAGCCCTGGGGGGGGGGGCGAAACAAAGGCAGACGCCGCTCGCTGCTCCCCGGAACCCCCTCCTTGGCGCCTCCCGACCAGGGCTCCAGGGCCCGAAAACTACGAGAAAACGGTCGTCGCGATTTCATGTCTGCGTCGTCTGGATCTGAGGCTCCCCCCCCTTCCTCCACTGGACCTGTCATGGCGTGCGCTCTGACCAGAATTACGAGGAGAATCCAGCTGTGGCGACGAGGGCACTCCAGGAGGCCCGAAGAGGACGAAAAACGAATAAAAACCATGATCCCCGAATCTTAAAGTCCAGCAGTGGCGACAAGAGAACGAAAAAAGTCCAGAAACCTTGATCCTCGAACCTCGAAGGGCCTCGACGAGGACGAAAAACTTCAAAAAGCCTCGGCCCTCGAACCTCGAAGGGCCCCCCCCCCCGCAGAACCAGAATAAGCGGGCCCAGCGCCATGCCGCGGGTGCGCGGGCGGCCGCGAGGCCTGAAGGAAGCAGAAGCTGCTTCAGACACACTCCCGGAACTTGAGGCCTGGAAATGGGCACCAACACCAACACCGGGGGGCGTGCCTCCACAAGGGGAGATGATCCTAGACTTTGGCGCTGGTGGTATTCTCGGCCACCTGGGAAGCCCACACATCGTCATCATCACCGAGATCAGGATCATCTTCCCCTTGTGGAGACACGCCACCGATACTGGTGGTGGCGTCAACCTCTAGGCCTCCAAAATCTTTCAGAGGTCCGATCGGATTCCTGGGTCGGCGCTGGACCCCACTCGCTGTCGCGCGGAGCGCGCCAGCCGCTCAGCCGGAGGCGCCGCCAGGGCCCAGCGCGGATCCAAGAAATCCGCGCTGGCGTTGGACAGATCGCGCGCAACATTGATATCCGAAAGGCACGCTATCCCTGTGAGGCGATCCCTGGGAGAGGGCCCCTGCTGCGCACGCCATCCCCATGCCCAGGCTTCTTGGGTGCAGGCTATCCCCCTGATGGGGGATAGCGTGTGACAAGCGGGCTGGCGGCGCCACAGCGCACGTTGTCTTTACAACGCCGACCGTATGCTCTTGAGGTTCATTGTTCTTCGACTGCCGAGGCCCCGCGGCGTCGCGCCATGCCGCGGCGGCGCCCATGTGGCGCTGGCCTCCCTCCGCGCCTCGCCGCGCGCGCGCCCGCAAAACGGCGGGAGCGCGCGCGGCGCGGCCGGCCCCGCCAAAATGGAGGGGTGCCGGCCACCCTCCGACTGCTGAAGGCGGCGAGGGGCGGAGGAGGGGGTGGTTCGTAGGCGTAGCTGCCCGTGGGGGACGAAAGTTTTTGGACGTTTCGTCGGTCCATGTAGGTTCTCCTGCCTTGGGATGCGGTCCAGCATCTGCGCCTCGCCGAGAGCGTTCCCAGGGTGCCCGGATCATCGCGAATGGCCGCCGAAGGCCCGAGCTATGACCCGAAAACCAGGCGACGAGGCTTTCTAGCCTCGACGGCACTGCCCGTCGCCTAGTCTCACCTCCGCTTCATCACTTTCTCGGCCATTATCCGCTCCTGGTCCCTCCTGGAGTCCACTATTTTCATCATGTTCTGGCGCTGCCGCGGTGCTGGCTGAGGAAGGTGATGGAGGAGACAGGTGGTGCTGCCTTGTCTTGTCTCGTGCCTGCTCGCTCCTCTGTGCTCCCGCTTGCTTCGGCAGCCGCGCGCGGCCCCCGACTGACGCTGCGGACTAGTGTGCCCCCCAGAGCTTGCGCAAAAAAAAACAAGTAGGCGCAGGAGAGGATGGTGGTGAGACGGAAGAGAAAAGAAGGTGGCGGCCAGGTGGGTAGGGAAGAGAACGCGGTGGCAGCACGGGCGGGGCAGGCGGAGCCAGCGGATGTGGCACCGGACGAGGACGGGAGAGAGGATGAGGCGAAAGAGGGGGCGGTGGCAGTAGAGGGTGGGGGCAGATCGAGAGGAGGGGGAGGAGGAGGGGTGACAGGAAGAGAGCTGCCGCGGAGGAGGTGTTGTGTCGACGTTGTGCGAGGAGCACGTTCCCGCCGTGGTGGCGGCAGCAGCAGGATGGAGACGCCGTGGGCTGGACTGTGGACAGTCCCCGACTCTGCGACTGAAAGGAGGCGCAGCGAAGAGAAGCGAGCGCCGGAGTCGTGCGTGGTCCCTTTGGGCGCCCGCCCGTGCCCATCAGGGCGCCGCAACCACCATTCAGAGATCCCAGCAGATGATAACCATCACAAGTCGTTCGAGCTGTTGTACTCGTGTTGTCCAAATTCGATCGCTGCCCGTGACTGGTCCTGCCCAGCGTTGGCGTCGCACCATTGCCCGTTCAAAGTGTGAAGAGACTTCTGGACTTCGTCGTCCACTCATTTGGTTGCCCCACATGTTGCCGGTGCCCTCGTTGTCGAATGTTTAGATGAGGGTTCCAATTAAGCACTCTCCGCGTCCAGCGTGTAGGGGGATGGCGAGCCACAGTATTCGCCCATCGCCAAGCCATGCTGTGGTGCATTCGTAATACATCAGGTCTGTCATGTTAGGCATCAGTGTTTCTGCCCTCCGCGTTCTACTGCGGACAAAATCGGAGCATAACTTGACGTCGTCGTCCTGCGTAGTGCCTGGTTGCGTGTACTCGTCGTCGTCGTTGTCGTCGTCCTCTTCGTTGGATTGCTGGGCGGGCGGGTTGCTACAAACATCTGATTCGCTGGAGCCGTTTGGAACAATGTTGCTGGTGTCGTGGTTGTTGTTCTGGGCTGTCGCTGGATTGCGGTGCGGCGTTGGTGTCGCTGTCATGCGTCTCCTGGCGTCCCAAATATAATTCTGACCATCTGACGCTGTGTTCGTCGTAACTATTCCTTGAGAGGATCTGGCAGAGTCCACGTTTCTCCGCTGTACATCAACGTAGGTACGACACTGCCCCTGTACAGTCGTAATCGGTGTCCAAGTGGGTAGTTCTTGCTGGTGGATTCTTGTCTGTGTCCGCTGCAGCCTGCCCATGCTGCTTGAATCCGGTGTATTAGTTCTGTTTCGGGGGCGTCGTGAGAAGTAATGGTCTGGCCCAGGTAGGTGGTGGTGCTGGCGCGTGGCAGCAATTCGATGGCAATCCCTGCAACTTGGGCACCAGGTCACGTGTCGAAGCTGATTGGTCGTGATCTATCTTTGGCCGGGTGGAATTCCAATCCGTGGGGCTTGGCTGAGATGATGAGGTAAGCCAGCATTGTTTTTGAAATGGTCAGTGATTTACCTTTCAGCAATTCGTGGTCTGGGTGAATAGATGGATAGGGCTGCTCATCTGTTGAACAATAACGACAAGAGGAAGAAAGGCAACGAGAGGCCGAGAGGGAGGAAAAAGTGTACATACAGCCACTCGCCCGCTCACATAAACACACACACACAGAAACAGAAAGAGAAAGAGAGAGAGAGAGAACATAAACGACCACACTCCTGCTGATGAGGTTAGGGGGATTGGCACTTTCGGGGATTTGCATCCCCCCACCCTTTCAAATCGACCCCGCAACCTCTCATGAAGCGTGCTCTGACAGAGATGCAGATGGATCCAGCCGTTGTGACAAAGGCCCGCCAGGAGGCGAACATCCTCCTCATCCTCACCATGATCTCATTGATGGTATTAGTCTGTTGATTCGTTATCGTCATCGTCATCGTCATGGTCACGACCATCATCATCATCATCATCATCATCATCATCATCATCATCATCATCATCATCATCATCATCATCATCATCACCATCACCATCACCATCATCATCACCATCATCATCGCCATCATCAGCAGCATAATCAGCATCACCATCATCATCAGAAGCATCAGCATCAGAACCGATATCACGATCGTCCTCATCATAATCGTCATCAGCATTATCAGCATCATCAGCATCGTCAACAGCATCAGCATCATCATCAGTATCATCATCGTCATCATCATCATCATCATCATCATCAGCATCACCATCATCATCACCATTAGCATCTTCATCACCACAATCATCATAGCATTATCATCCTCATATTCATCATGATCACCATCATAATCATCAGCATTATCCTCGCCATCAGCATCATCATCCTCATTCGCATCACCATCATCGTCATCCTCATCACCATCATCAGCAGTATCGGCATCACCATCATCATCACCACCATCGACATCACCATCGTCATCACCACCGTCATCGTCACCATCATCGCCATCATCAGCATCATCAGTACCGTCATCATCATCATCATCATCAGCATCATCATCACCTCCATCACCACCACCACCAACACCACAATCATCATCATTATCATCATCATCATCATCATCATCATCATCATCATCATCATCATCATCATCATCATCATCATCATCCTCGTCATCATCATCACATCCATCACTCACATTTTTCCACGTGGTTTCGCCATCGCCATCATCAGATTCCACCTCATCCCCTTCCCCCTCCCCCCTCCTAAGCCATCCTCCCCCCCATCCCCCTCTCCCTTCTGCTCAATATCCTCCTCCCTTTGCTCCCCGTCCTCGTCCTCCTCATCCCCCTTCTCATCCTCCTCATGTTCCTCCTCATCATCCTTCTCCTCTTCCTCCTACTCCGCTTCCTCCTCCTCCTCCTCCTCCTCCTCCTCCCCCTCCTCATCATCGTCACCATCATCATCATCATCGTCACCATCATCATCATCATTATCATCATCATCATCATCATCATCATCATCATCATCATCATCATCATCATCATCATCATCATCATCAGCAGCATCATCATCAGCAGCAGCAGCAGCAGCATCAATATTTTTCCATCTATATATACACATATGGCTCCGCCCTGATGCAGCCCCCAGACGTGTCGGCAGAGTGGGCCGGGCGACTGTTTCGCCTGAGATTTCCTCGCAGCTTACGATATTGAAGCTCTAAATTCCCAACGGCTACACGGATGGAGGGCACATCGGTTTAAAAGTGAGGCTGTCGTATTAGCGGCGCGCACACTCGCCTTACACATTTAAACAACAGCATGGATGAATGGCGGATCGTTTTCAAAATAAGACTCTCGCCGTGGCGCCGCGCAAACTGTTCTGAAACATCCAAACAAATATCCTGGCGAAGGTCCCAACCATATGCAGTTGTGGGTACAGTAATTGTGAATATCTGCTTCGGTGAAGCTCCTTATGGGGCCACGAAGCGCTGCACTGGGCGGGGGGGAACGCTGTACTGTGTGGGTGGTGTGCCGAATTGGGCTTCCGGGACGCATGCGGACGGTCCCACTGAGGGCTTCGGTGGAGCTCCCTATGGGGCCACGAAGCGCTCTACTGAGTGAGTGAAAATGCCAAATAAGGTTACCGGGACGCATGCCGACGGTCCCACTGGGGGCTTCGGTGGAGCCCCCTATGGGGCCACGAAGCGCTGCACTGCGCGGGTGAAAATGCCAAATTACATTTTTCGGACGCATACGGACGGTGGCACTGGGGCCTTGGGTGGAGCCCCCTATGGGGCCACGAAACGCTGCACTGGGTGGGTGAAAATGCCCAATTGGGCTTCCGGGGCGCATGCGGACGGGGGCACTGGGGCCTTCGGTGGAGCTCCCTATGGGGCCACAAAACGCTGTACTGGGTGGGTGAAACGCAGGGAGGGGGGGGAAGGAGGGCCACGAAACGCTGTACTGGGTGTGCGGGACGCATGCGGACGGTGGAGGAGGAGGGGAAAGAGGATGAGAGAAGGAGAACGCGGGGACCGTCTCTTCAAAACGAGGACCCAACACCAGAGGCTGGTTGGGAACAACTGCACGGACGGAGAACGGCTCCTTTTCAAAATAGGGGTTTCGCCTCGGCGCCGCGCACATTCGTCTCAGAAACTTCCAACTATTGGACGGATGGAGGTCGGATCCTTTTCAAAATAGGGCTCTCGCCTGAGAATCCCTCTGGAATTATATTCCTCGAGAGCGGATCCTTTTCAAGATGGGGCTCTCGCCCGAGACTGTTCCATTCTTATGGCCAGAAGCTCGCCGAACCCCTGAGACAGTTGCCCCTCCGAAAACCCCTCCCCCAGGAGCCTGGATCAGCCAGCTTGGAGCACGGGGGGTCGGGGCGGAGGTGCCGACGGACTCACCTGGTTCATAAAAACTCCCAGGCGCGCAACAATTGCATAAGAAAGCCTCATGACGGTCCGCAGGTGCTCTGGGACGGCCCAAGATAGGTCTAAGAAGGCCCCGGGCTGACTTCCAAGAATGCGCCAAGAGAGTAAAAATCGTGGGATAACAAATCGACCTTAGACTATTTGACGTGCTTCACATGCTCGATCTTCAGGGTGTCTGAAACAACCCTAGAGACCCCCAAGATCGCCCCAAAACGATTCCAAAGGCGCCCAAAAGGGTTCCCACAAGATGGCCCCAACGACACCCAACATGTCCTCAAGAGAGCCTCAAGAGGGCCCCAGAGGCCTTCAGAGGCCCCCCAAGAAGCCCCAGAACGGCAAAACACCGACACTTTTGAGCACGGCGGTAGGTTCCCCAAATGAACGCACGGCGCCAAGGCGCTTCTACGACAACGCCCCCGGAAGAGAGGCACCCAGGGCTCACAAGAAGTCGGCGGCGCGGCGCAACCCAATGAACCGAAAAGTAGGCATCATATACACGGATGAAAGCGGTTCCTTCTCAAAGCGTGGCCGTCGCTGAACACTTCCTTTCGCTTTACGTCCCCACTCTGTCGCATTCCTGATGATTCGAAGGATGGTGGACGGTTACTTTTCAAACAGAGCTCCCGCCTGAATTGCGGGCCTGTGGCGCTGTCTCACAAGGGGGCGCTTCGCGCGGTGAAAAAAAGTGCAAGGATTCCTGAAGAGAGCTTCTCGGAACGGGAGGGTGCTTTGCAGCATCATTGATGCATCTTGGGCTGCCTCTGGTCTTCCGATTCCTCCCCTGGGAAAAGAATCGGCATAGACATGGAGATCCGCGCGGACTACTTGGATCGGCGCTGGACCCCCCTCCCCGGAGCGCGGAGCGCGCCAAGGGCGGCGCCGGAGGCGCCGCTAAGGGGCCCAGGCGCAGATCCCAGCAATCCGAGCGAAGCTTCGAATGTTTGGTTTCGCGCAAAATGTGTTCTCCTTCGATCGTCCCCCTGCTCTACGGTCCTCTCCTCTTTCCCCGCTTCGCCTCGAGGGGCGCCTCGGCGCGCGCGCGCGGTGCCAGACACATTTTTTCCTCCCCAGGAAGCCAAAAGGCAAGACGGGAGCCCGCGCGAACTCTGCGCGGGGCCACCGCCGGGGGGAGCCTAGGAGTCATGAGCAGCTGAAGAGAAACGGCTGGAGTCGTCGTCACCCCTTCTCCTCCTTCTCGCCATCTTCTGCCCCCCCGTCCTGCGGACAGGGGACTGCTATTTCTCAGGAGCTGGGATGGAGGAGGAGGGCGGGGAAGGCCAAACGACAGGGGGAGAAGAAGCAGGGGGGGGAGCAGGAGCAGAGGCAGGGGCAAGGCCCACCAGGAAGGGCCAAAGGGCGGCGGCGGAGGCGGCCGCCCGGCCGTCAGGAGCTCGGCTTCGCGCGGCTGGCTTCGCCGCCTGGAGCCGTGCGGCAGCGCGTGGCCTATGTCGCCGAGGCCTTCGTCAACTCGCCTCCCAAGACATACGGTGAGCAACCTTAGCTCCGCGTGTCGCGGCGGCGGCCCCGGCGATACGCGATGCCCTGCGAACTGATAGCGTGTCGCTCCGCTCCGCGGGACGGCGGGTCTGAGAAAAGCTCGGGAAGGTAACGTTTGGAGACTGGGAGGTGTTTAGCGTGTCACGCCGAATCGTGGTGGGCCGGAACTGGCGGCGCGGCACGCTGAGCAAAAGTCCTTCACCGTACTGAAGGAAGGTCACCCCCTCGACCACGCCCGCCTCGCTGTGCTGCATGACATGTGCCTCTTCCTGGCCGCACTGCCCTTGCCCTGCTCCTCTCCTCCTCCTCCTCTTCCTCCTTCTTCGTCTTCTTCTTCTTCTTCTTCTTCTCCTTCTCCTCCTCCTCCTGCTCCTCCTCCTGCTCCTCCTCCTCTTCCTTGCGCTCCTCACCCTCCAACTGATCCTCCTCCTCCGCCCGCTCCCCCTCGTCCTGCTCCTCCGCATCCTAACCCTCACTCTCCTCCTCATCATCCTCATCCTCCTTATGGTGTTGCTCCTCCTCTTCCTCATTCTCCTCCTCCTCCTCATCCTTCTCATCGTCCTCCTTCTCCTAGCTGGTTGGTGGTATCAGCGTTAGTGCCCGAGCCGCGACCCAGCGCGTGCTGCGCAAGCGTTTGCACAATGAGATCATGATGCGTTGCGCGACTGGCACCTACCGATGTGAGCATTTGATCGATCTCGTGGAGGACCAGATTTCTGCCACACAGCGTTGGCAGATCCCCGATGCCCTCACTGACTCATTCTCTCCCTTCCTCCGCCCTCTCCCCCCCAAACCCACCATGCCTACCTCTTTTTCCTCCTCCTCCTCCTCCTCCTCCTCCTCCTCCTCCGCCTCATCCCCCATTATCGTCGTCGTGATCATCGTCAACCCCACCATCACCATCATCAGCATCATCATAGCATACTCCTCTTCGTGCTGACGCTTCTCCTGCCCCTCCTCATCCTCCTCCTCCTCATCATCATCCTCATCCTCATCCTCATCATCATCATCATCATCATCATCATCATCATCATCATCATCAGCAGCATCTTCATAAGCATCATCACCATCCATCATCATTATCCTCATCATCGTCGTCTTCATCATCCTCATCATCATCATCATCAGCATCATCATCAGCATCGTCATCCGCCTCACCATCATCATCAGCAGCAACATCACCATCATCATCGGCATCAGGATCATTATCATCATCATCAGCAGCAGCAGAATCACCATCATCGTCATCATCACCATCAGCATCATCATCATTAGCATCATCAGCAGTATCATCAGCATGAACAGCATCATCATCAGCATTAGCATCATCATCATCATCGGCATGAGCACCAGCATCATCATCCTCATAAGCATCATCGTCCTCATCCTCATCATCTCCATCCGCATCGTCATCATCCTCATCATCGTCATCATCAGCATGATCATCATCATCAGCATCAGCATACTTATCATCATTATCATCAGCATCATGATCGTCATCACCATCATTATCATCATGATCATGATCATGATCATCATCATCATCATCATCATCATCATCATCATCATCATCATCATCACCATCATCATCATCATCATCATCATCATCATCATCATCAGCATCATCCTCATCATCATCAGCATCATCCTCATCAGCATCATCATCATTATCATCATCATCATCAGCACCATCGTCAGCATTGCAACATCATCGCCATCAGCATCATCACAATCGTCGTCGGAGTCGTCGCCCTCGTCGCACTCATCAGTATTATCATCATCAGCAGCAGCAGCATCATCATCATCATCATCATCATCATCATCATCATCATCATCTTCATCTTCAGCATCATCATCTTCGCAGGCATCGGCACATTCATCATCGTCATCATCATCGACAGCATCGTTACCATCCTAGTATTCATCACCATCACCACCATCATCATCAGCATCATCGTCGTCGTCAGCATGACCATCACCATCATCATCACCCTCATCATCAGCAGCATCAGCATCGGCACCAGCATCGTCATCACACTCATCATCATCAGCATCATCGTGATCATCCTCATCGTCAGCATCAGCATGAGCAGAAGCTTCAGCATAATTACCATCATCATCACCACGACCTAACAGCATCGCCGCCAGCTTCATCAGCATCGTCATCGCAATCGTTATCCTCATCGCCATCATTATAAGCATCGCCAGCAACATCATCATCATCCCAATCCTCCTCATCCCCCTCCTCCTTGCCCTCCTCCTCCCCCATGACGTATCACACGTGTCGTACACGTGTCCATAGGCCGAGCCAGGCGTTTCGCTTGAGATAGTTTTACAATTCCTATCCTGAAGCAAACACCAACGACTTCAAACATGGAGAGCCTGTCGTTTCCAAAACGTTGTGTTCGCCTCATCGCCGAACATATGCAGCTCAAAAGCTTGCAACTCTAACACGGATGCAGGGCTGACCGTCTTCAGTATGCGTCTCTCGCCATAGCGGTGCGAACAATCGTCTTTAACGAATGTACAACAGCTTCAAAAATAGAGGACGATTCGGTTTCAAAATGCGACCCGCGCCGTGACAACGCGAACAGTCGTCTCAAAAGCTTGCAACAGCTATAATTGTGGATGGCGATACCTTTTCTAAAGGGGCTCTGGCCTTGGCAGACGCACATGATATCAAAAGCTTGCACCAGCTGCAAGAACGGAGGACAGCTTCGATGTTGAACTGGGGCTCTCGCCTGAGAGGTCCTCAGGCTTGAAGACTAGAAAGTGCAACAGTCGTTATAGCTGCACGGAAGGAGGGCGGCTGCTTTCCAAAACGGGGCTCTCGCCTGAGACGTCCTCACATGTGATAGCCTGACGTGCAACCGTGTTCAACAGATATACGGATCGGGTGCGGCTCCTTGTCGGAACGCTGTTCACGCAGGACACCTCGTTGACCTTTCTGATCATCCCGTCGGATGCAAGGCAGTTCCGTTTCAGAACGAGGCTGTCTCCCCTCAACCCCCTCCTCCTCCAACCTCTTGCTCATCCTCCTCCTCCTTCTCAGCCCTCTCCTCCTCCTCCTCCTCCTCCTCCTCCTCTTCCTCCTCCTCCTCCTCCTCCTCCTCATGCTCCCCTTCCTCACCCTCGTTCCCCCACCTCTGCCCGCTCCCCCCTCCCTCTCCCCCTCCCCCTCCTCGAACACCTCCCCTGCTCCTCCCCCCACCCCCCCCCTCCTCTTCGATCGCCGCCCAATCCGCGGCTCTAAAACCGCAGACCGCCGACGTCGTGAGTGTTACACAACGAAGCCCCTGGGCCCAACGAAGGGCCAAGGGAGGCAAAACATAGCCAAGAAAAACTCCCGTCGTGACTTTTTCACGGAGCGAGGGGGTCTGGAGAATCTGCTCAGCCTGTCGAAGGCGGGCTCAGCGTTTGCTCGAAGGCTGCAGCCGCCCCCAGCGGAGACCCAGAGGGCGTGACGGCGACAGCACGCCAGCGACGACTGCGGCGACGGCGAGCTGGCTGGCGGCGGCGGCGGCGAGGATTGGCTGGCGACGCTGGCGGCGGCGAGCCAGCCCAGCTGCCTTCGGCGGAAGCCCAGAGGGCGTGCCGGCGGTCTCGAAGGGCCTACAGCTCGGCCTGCGCGCTGGCCAGAGGCCTCACCGGAGCTGCTGCCGAGCGGGCATCCTGGGAGGGCGCCGACTTATTGGGGGCCCCCCGTAATGGGTTCCGAGTAGATGGGGTCGAAGGGTCGCGCCGCATCACCGATGGATCGGCGATGCATCGGCGAGGCACAGGCGACGTCGGCGACGCATCGGCGCCGTCGGCGTGGAGAAAATCGGGCTCCACATTGAGCCGCATCGCCGGTGCACTGGCGATGTGGCGCTATCCGCCGACCCCATCTACTCGGACCCGTCTGGGAGGCCTGAACTGACACACGGCATGCGCTCTCCTGGCTTGGACCGGAAGTTGGGGGTCCAAAAACGGTGCGGTAACAGACCGTGCGGTGACCTCGGAATCCCCAAAGACCTCACAGCACGGTCCGTCACCGTACCGTTTTCGGACCTCGGAGGTGACCCCAGTCGCCTGAGACATTCTCGGAGAGTGACCCAGGCCCCCAAACCGCACGATCTCCCCGAATCTCGGCCGATTCACCACACGGCGTGGCCACCGCAGCGTCTCGGGGCCCCCGATGGTTTGGACAGAAAGGCCTGCACACCGATCCTGGGCCTGGGACTGGGCCAACCAGGATCGATTCGCCATGTTCGGCTACACGCAAGAGTGACCCTGGGTAAGAGTGACCTTTGGCACGCGGCTTCATAAGAGACACAAGGGGGAGCAACACACAAGCGCACAAGACGCTACTATCGCCCCGCGCTCGACGACCGGGAGGGCCCAGTGGACGCGCACCGAAGGTCACTCAGGCGAAGGTTGGTGGCGCGCACAAGGGGGTAGGGGGAGAGGGGAAGTCTTCGTCGAAGGAGGCTGCTCCTTGGAAGCCCGCGCTATCTAAGAAGCAGGGGTGTTCCTAAGAAGCCTTCTCCCCGCCCCCATACCACCCTTCTGCGCGCGGCCGACTTACGCGCAGTCGACATGCGCAAGGAACTGGCGCCCCCCCGGTGTCTGGCCTTGGAGTGCGCGGCGGCGGCTCCGCTGGGCCTCCAGCTGGGCTTGCGCCGCCAGCGCTGCCAGGACTCCGCGTCGACGCCGGCGGCCTCTCGCGCGCGCGCGCCAGCCCGCGCTCCCCAGGCCCCCAAGATGAGCGACGATCAAAAGGATGGGGGATCGCAGCAAAAAACTACGGAGTGTTCAAGAACATGTGTAAATATTGTTCAGATGGTTCAGAAAAATCTAGCCCTGGAGGCTTGACCCGTGTGAGAGGTGTACATGAATTGGCCAATCGACGCCGTCTCGGGACCTGGGCGTTGGGGGGTCAAAACCCAAGTTTCTGGCCCTGGGAAGGAGGTGGGGGTAAGCTCCACAAGCAATGCAAGCCCTGGAGGCACGATCCGTGTAGGGATGCGGGGGGGGTATTTGTCACTGGCCTTGGGAAAGGGAGGGGGCGGCCTTGGTGGCGGGAGTTCAACACTTCTCCCCAGCACCGCAGGAGGGGAAACCGTCGTCGCCAACCGTTGGCATGAGGGATGTCCCTGAGCTCAAGCACTGAACAGCAATTCTTGTTCAAATAGCTAGGGCAAGAAGATTAGAGCACTGGATGGCAAGTCAGCGACGAAGAGAGCGCCAGTCCTGGCGGTCGCCGTCGAACAGGCCAACTCTCTCTCCCCGAGGGCTGGTAGGTAAAAGGCCTGAAGTGGAGATTGGGAGGGCACGGGCGGCCGTCTAAGCCGCACGACGGGCAGCTCGGCACTCACGAGCCGCATCCCTGTTCGCGGCAATCCGCGTACGGTGGGCGACGGTGCGGGGGAGAGAGGCGGGCGGGGGAGGGGGAGGAGGCGACAGAAGGAGGAGAGGCGAGAAATCCCAGTCACGCACATCGAGGATCTGTTCCAAAATGGCCTGTACCTCGAAAGCCTCTTGGTCCAGAAAGAACTCTGGATTTTCCGCAAGGCCCCTGGTGGCTGCGCCTCTGTGGGGACTCTGGACACGAGACTGCCCATGGGCAACAAACAGACGCGACGGAGGGCTCGGGCACCAGAGTCATTACTATCCGAATCATCGAAACGAGCATGCTCGGGATCTACACTCCTACGCTTCCTTAGCGAGACTTCCCAACCAGAGAAACAAAGAACTCAATCAAGCTGGACAATACCTCCTCCGCACCACACGCAACAGACGCGTCGGGATCGTCCGAGGCAGGCAGCAAGCGAATGACGCTGTCACATATGCTGGCGGCGAAGGCATTCCACATGCCAGCATAAGACTTCTTAGACGCGGTCCTGAAGGTCCCCTGGGCCGTTTTGCCGAGAAGACATTGGTGGGCCCCGCTACCGCGCGAGCACTTCCCAGCCACCGGGGTGGTATTCGACCTGTCATACAGGGACGGCATGCGGACAGACACAATGCACGTGGGGGGGCGCGCCCATGCGACTTGGGGTCAGCCTCTGGGTACTGGTGTTCACTCTGATCAAAAATCGTAGTGCGACTGCACGGAGAAGCCGCGAAGGCGAGACAAGGAGGTCAACGGAAGGAGGTGGGGGCTCTAGGGGCCCAGAGAGCAGGAGCAGGGTGTTGTATCCAAGCCCCCGTGACCGCCAGAGGGGGAGGAGGGAGAAGGGAGGGGGCATTGCATTGCGTTGCATTGCGTTGCAGGTCATTCCAGTATGCTGCGATAAGCTGGATTGCATTGCATCATGGTGCATTGCATTGCTTGCGTTGCATTGCGTTGGAGCGCATCGCACTGCTTTTCATTGCATTGCGTTGCATTTGCATTTGTAGTATTTTGCGTTGCGCTGGGTTGCGGGCGGGGGGGAGGAGGGAAAGACAGGTCAGGAGGAGAACAGGGAGGGGAGGAAGGAGAAGTGACGAGGGAGGAGGAGGAGGAGGAGGAGGAGCAGGAGGAGCAGGAGGAGGTCGTATCGTCGTGGTCGTCTCGTGGCCCCTCTCATCGTCGTCGTCGTGGTCGTCGTCGTCGTCATTGTCGTCGACGTCGTGGCATACTCCGCCAGCGCGTCTCACGGCACGAAGTGAAGTGCCATCAGGTGCTCCAGAGTCCTCTGTAATCTGTCTGTGCCGAGTAGAGTGGAATCGCATCTGTCTTCGGACACCGCGGCGCTGCCACGTGAGGGGTAGATTGGAATAGTAATTGTTCGCCCGCCCAGGAATTTCCATGTGACGAGTAGGGCGGGATGGTTTGTTCTTGGGCCCCCGCGGTGCTGTCACGCGACGAGAAGCGCATTGCGTTGCAGTGCCTTGCGTTGCACTGCGTCGCATTGTATTTCATTGCGCTGCGATGTGTTGCATTGCATTGCGTTGCGCTGCGCTGCACTGCATTGAGCATTTTCCGGCCCTGGCCAAAGTAGCCCTACTGGCACGCCCTGGCCAGGATCCAAAGGGCCGCACCAGTAGGCCAAAGTAGCCGTACTCGTAACCTCGCCGGCGCGGTCTTTCGTGGATGTCTCGAGCGGGGGCTTTCTCCACCAGTCGAGGGAGTAGGCCACAGTAGCCCTGCTACTACGCCCCAACCCCCGGGGCCGTACCAGTAGAAAGTAACTTTACTCGTATGCCCGCAGGGACGGACTTTCGAGCATGTCTCGAGCGGGGGCCCTCTACTAGTACGCCCCGGCCAAGCTCCAAAGAACCGGACCAGTAGGCCAAAGCAGCCCTACGTGTAACCTCCCCGCAGAGGACTTTCGAGGATGTCTCGAACGGAGACCCTGTTCGCTGGTCGCACGAGTAGGGCAAGGTAGTCGTACTATTGCGCCCCGGCCAGACTCCAAATGGCCGTACCAGTACGCCAATAAAGTAGCCCTACTAGTAGCCACGCTGGGGCGGACTTTTGAGGCTGTCTCGGGTTAGCCGCACTAGTACGCCCCGGCCAGGCCGCTGGGGCCATACCAATATGCCAAAGTAGCCCAACTTGTAGCCCCGCTGGGGCGGACTTTCGAAGATGTCTCGAGCGGAGGCCCTCTCCGCTGGTCGTTCGAGCAGGCCAAAAGTAGCCCTTCTAGTACGCCCTGGCCAGGCCCCAAAGGGCCGTACCAGTACGCCAAAGTAGCCTCACGAGTAGCTTCACCGGGCAGACTTTCGAGGATGGTCCGAGCGAGGGCCCTCTCCGCCAGTCGTACGAGTAGGCCGAAGAAGCTCTACTGGTACGCCCTGGCCAGCCCCCAGGGCCGCACAGGTAGGCCAAAGTAGCCCAACTTGTAGCCCGCCGTCGCGGACTTGGGATGCCTCGAGCGGGGGCCCTCTCCGCTGATCGCACGCATAGGCCAAAGTAGCCATTCTAGTACGCCCAGGCCTGGCTCCCTGGCCCGTGCCAGCAGCGCAAAAAAAGCCTCACTAGTAGCCCCGCCGAGTGGATATTTGAGGATGCCTCGAACGGGGGCCCTCTCCGCCGGCTGTACGAATAGGCCAAAAGAGCCCTTCTAGTACGTCCCTCGTAAACTCCCGGAGTCGTACTACCAGTAGGGCCACGCTGGCCCTACGAATAGCCCCGCTGGGGTGGATATTCGAGGATGTCTCGAGCAGGGTCCCTCTCCGCCGTTTGTAGTCACTGCTAAAGCACAGTAGCCCGACGGCTAGGCCCCTAGGGCCGTGCTGGTAGCCCAAAGTAGCCTTACCAGTCTCCCTCTCCGCCGACCGTAGTAGTAGGCCGTACTAGCCGTACCAATACGCCCCAGCCAACCTCCCAAGATCGAACAAGACGTTTAGTTCTGCCCTACTCGTAGCCCCGTCAGGAGGACTTGTTCTAGAATACTTCGAAGGGGGGCGTTACCCGCCTACCGAAGTTGTATACCAAAGTTGCCCTACCAAAACGCCCCAGCCAAGTCTCTGAGCTGTACCACTACGCCAGTACGCCCTTGCCAAACTCTGGCCCGAACTTTTCCGACTCCTGACTCCCAATGTGAAAACAACCAGGCGCAACACGCATGGAAGCCAATGCATGCCGCCATCTCACATGACCGATGGCGCCTTTGGCTCAGAATCCGAATCTACAACGGTCGGGGCCACATCACGGTCAGCGACCGCCGCTGTCTGGCGCGATCAACGGTGCGCCCACCTCGGCTTCCATATTTCCAGCCAAGTGGCCCCCCAGCCAACCAACCAACCGATCGACGAACCAACCAACCACCCAACCAACCAACCAACCAATCAACCAATCACCAAACCAACCAACCAACCAACCAACCAACCAACCAACCAACCAGCAAACCAACCAACCGAGCAACCGACCAACCAACCAACCAACCAACCAGACAACCAACCAACAGAGCAACCAACCAACCAACCAACCAACCAGCCAAACAACCAACCAACCAACCCATCAGCCAACCCGCCAACCAACCAACCTACCGACCGACCGAGCGACCGACCAACCAATCAACCAACCAACCAACCAACCAAGCAACCAGTAGCCATCAAACCAGCCAGCCAGCCAGCCAACCAACCAACAAACCAGCCAGCACATTAATCAACCAACCAACAAACAAACCAACAAACCAACCGACAGACCGACCGACCGACCGACCGACGAACCCACCAATTATGGCACAACACTCACACGGATCGCACCTAGGGAACCAGAACAACAATTGAACTCTCTGAGCATCAAACAACAAAGTGTTTGAACCTGCTCCCGATCAACTAGAGATCTTACGCGAGATGGCGTTGCGACCGCACGCCGCGGTTTACGCCAGCCCCCAGCGCGGCATGCGACTTTGGAGACGAGGGTGTTGACGCGCGACCTTACGCGGGCAACTTACGCGCCAATGTCGGTGAAGACGACCCCGTCTTCCTTCGTCGCTCATATAGGGTCAGTAGATGGGGTCGGAGGATCACACCGCATCGTCGATGCCTCACTGATGCATCGGCGACGTCGGCATGGAGGAAATCAGGCTCCACATCGAGCTGCATCGCAGATACATCGGCGATGCATCGGCGATGCGGCGCGATCCTCCGACCACATCTACTATGACCCCATCTCAAAGTCCTAGAACCACGTCAAGCAAGGGCCACCCTGGGCCCTGGCACGGCGTGTACTGCTACACGCCCCCCTCGCCGAGACCGAGAGGCTGTGCACGGCGGGTCCGCGTTGTGACGACTCTGGCGTTGGCTTCTGACACCGCGCGGATCGTTCAACCTGGAAGGATCAGCGGGCTTCTCGATCGCAGGATCGTTCCACATTGGCCGATTCTGGGCCACTGGCGACGTTCGACCTTGAACCCCCGCGGCGGGGTCGCCCTCGTGCCGACACGACGCGGAGCTGCCGCGCACCAGCGTTGAGACCAGGATGGCCCTGGCTGGCCATGGCGGTGGTGGCACAGATGCCCTCTGCAACAGGCTGGCCACGAGCGGCGCGGGACCCAAACCCCCGACGTCGCGATTTCTTCAAAGCGTCCACACCCAGAGGTCTCGACCCATTCCCAGGGACCAACTCTCTAACCCCGAGTCGTTTTATTACACGGCCCCGGGGCCCAGCGAGGGCCCCCCGACGCCGAAAAGGGCCGACAAAACTTCGAGGCGGCCAGGGGGTCTGAAATGCATTGGCCCCGAGAACATCGGCCGCGGAAGGGGGGATAAAGGCGAATCCACTCAAAATCTATCCCCAGACCCCTCCTGGGGTTCATCTGATGTAGTTTTTCACCCCGGATCCGGAGACGGCCCCACAGAGGCCGAGAAAAGCAACAACAAAAAAAACGAACCCAGAACCTCGAACCTGCCCGCCCTTCCTGCTGGCGGGAAACAATGCTGGGACACCTCAGACCCCCATACGGCCCCAAGTTTTACCGTGCACGGCCCCGGGAAGGCCCACAGAGGCCGAAAAGGACCCAAAAGTGTCCGTCGTTATTTTGTTCGCGACGCGAGGGGGTCGGTGTCAGGGATCTACTGACCCGTGTCAATCCAAACCAGGGTCAGTCAGGCTTTGCACGATCCTGCACGCTAGCCTGGGCTAATGCACCCCTGGCTCTGCAGGATCCTGTAAGGTCCGGCGCTCTGGCTGACCCCCCGTTTGTACTGACCCCCGCCCCTTGAGCCCCGACGGGGGAGAGCTTCTCTGAGGCCGGCGGCCTCGGGAGCGCGTGCGGGGCGCCGCAACAGCTCCGGAGTGCTGCCATCTGCGCCCGGCCTGGGGGGGGGTGCGCCGACCTTCCGCCCACACCGGCCTCTGGCCACACAAAGCTGACACAACTCTGCCGTGATCATCGGATACGGTCGGACCCAGGACAGAAGACCACTACTCAAGAACATGAGACCCTCCGCCAGCCAAAACGCACAGGACACCAAAGGGTACCCTCCCCAGGATGCACAGAAACATCCAACAAGCACGAAAAACATTAGTGTACCCTCCCCGAACCGAGCTCGATCTTATACCTCTGTCCGACCGCACTGGAATTTTCCAGTCGCGACCGACGAGATCGGTCGTTGCCGATGTTGCCTCAAATTCGGGTACCGGTCGCGATCGGTCGCGACCGATTTGGAGTGCCGATCGGTCGCTACCGATCGCGATCGAAAAAATCTGGCATCTAATGATCTGGGAACCCTTGGCCCAGGATCGGTGTGCACCTCACCGGCGAAGCAAGATCGAGCCCCTGGCAGCGCCCCTGGCGCGCTTCGAGCGCCAGGGAAAGAGAGTCCAGCGCCGAGCAGAGAAGTCTCCACGACGTTTTGGGATTCTCGCTCACGACTTTGGATGCTGGGGTGTACGCCTTCCTGGCTGGGCCACGAGGGGCGCATGCACCGATCCCTGGCCCAGGATTGGCCTGACCAGCACAAGTTCAACAGGTCATGAGGGAAACGAGTCCTGGACTCTCATACTCTGGGGCCCTTTCCCCAGGACCAATTCTTCATCCTGCATCGTTTTCTGAAAGTCCAGGGGCCTGTGGAGGGCCCCAGGAGCCGGAAGACGGCGAAAAACCTTAGGACCCGTTTCCCTCAGGACCCGCTTCCCTCACGGCGAACTGGTGGACGTGGATGGTTGGCGCCCGCCGATGGCCTGAAGAAGCGCATGCGAAGCGGGCGGATGCGGCGCAGGATGGTGTCGAACTCCTCCAGAGGCCCCCACCCGGCCCCTCCGACCCCTTCCCGATGACTGGAGAAGCAAGCAGACCATCCGACCAGGGGGAGCAGGATGGCGGGGAGTGGCGAGAACCAGAAACGGCAGAAATCACCCGACCGAGGCGAGCAAGAACGCGAGGGGGATGCACCTAGGCCTGGTCAGCAAGCTGAGGCCAGATCTCAGACAGTACTTGCACAGAGGGCGTCCTACTTGCTGTTCGATTTACCCAAGACCCGAACTGCCCCCAGAGCCAAAGCCACTGCCCGCAGCACCGAAGACCGCTCTCTCAGACACCAGGACGCCACTCTGGCAGCTCTTGCTGCCCTAAGAAGGCGTGCACGACCCAGCCACTGTACACACCGCAATACCCACCCAACGAACCGACGACTACAGGATTGGGGGGAAAGCCATGACGGACGGTTGGAAGAGCAGATGCGACCGCTGCCCCAGCACCGCCTCAACCCACGAGTGGCCGTGCGGACAGAGGCCGAGGGGCATGCTTATCTTCCGCCCAGGCGCACCCGACCCAGTCCCCCGGTCACGGCCTCCCGCCATTCGACGACTGGGTCAGCACCTTCTCAAACACGCCGTGGAACGCAACCTCGTACTGCGAACGCTTCTTGATCGATCTCTGGAACGCACGGCCTTCCGACGTGGTGGAGATCTTCACCAGGGACGGGACCAAGGTTTACCCAGACACCCCGTACAAGCGACTTCGATCCACCCCCCATCCCGCTACCAACACCGAACCCGCTCCAGGCCCAGGTCGGCACGAGCACCAGACGCAGCAACCACCCACCGGCCTCAGCAGACGAGGGCGAAAGGGCCCAGGAGCTCGACGATCCTCTCGGTGTCTTCCAAAAGGTCTCCGCCCACGAACCAGGCCAAGCCAGCGGAGGCCAGCTGCCCAGGCAGGCCGAGGCGACCCTTGACCAGGCCCACCCGACGGGACGCGCCCAGGACCGTGCCAGGACCCCCGGGGCCGACGGTTTGGGCAGCACTGGGGAGACCCGCGCGCAAGCAACCAGCTACCCGCCCCAGCCACGGACCAGATCCCGCGGCGGCAAGGACCACCGGCCCAAGGACAGCGGGAGGACGTCCCCACATGGGGAATTGTCGCAAAAGCCTACTGGAGCACTCCCAGGGAGAGCGAAGGCGCCGCCCCAACAGCCACCCCCACAGACGCACTCGCAGCGGCCCACGATCGGACAGCAGATCCCCTACCGCACCCCCTGCTGGCACCAGCAGAAAAGGGCGCCGCGGCAGGGCAAGCGACAGCGGCTCTGGCACCTCGAGCGGCACCCCACCCCCACACCGCGGGTGGCAGCGTCCCCGTGGGCAAGAGGTCGAATCTCAAGCGACAGAACCAGCCCAAAGCGAGGCCAGCGGAAGGGCAGGCCCCCCCGCCCAAGTCCAACAACGGGGACCGCACCCTACGCGAGGCCTCAGCCTCGTCCCTGACCACTCCTATCCGCGACCAGCGACATCCTCTCCGACCTCCCCGACCTCAAGCCACCCCCATGCCCTGGCCTAGCCAATCGGAGCGTGGTCACTCTGGAGGCCGACACGACGATCAACCTAGACCCCAAGACCGGGAAGGCAGACTATACCATTGCAAACGCAATGGGCCAGTACGCCGAGGCCCTCCACGGCAGCATCGAAGGATCCTGGCGAGAGTGGACCGACGGGCTACGACAGCAGCAAATCCCTCCCCAGCAACCGAGCTACCCCGCGGGACCCACGGGCGTGGACGAAGGAAGGCTGCAAAGGCTTGCTCGCCCGCACACACGGCCCCACAACAATCCCCAACAATGAGATCCCCGAACGAAGGCCCTGGGACTGGAGACGACCCGCCCTGGCACACCTAGCAACCTACCTCATCAGGCAGAAAGGGCGATCTTCAACGAACAAACAAGACTACCTGGCTGACCAGTGGATCAACTTCCTTCAGGCCAACCGCCAGCTGTCACAAGAGCTAGGCAAAAACCCCAACAGGTACAGCCGACAGCTCCTCACCAGCTTCCAAGTCTCGCAGAGAATCCGGGACCTACAGTCACCTCATCCCGGGGGCGCCGACTAACCCCAGCACCAAGTCCAGCCACAACAAAAACAACGGACAGCTCGCCCCTTGGCCCCCCGCCAGCCCCACGTCAAGGGGTGAGCATAAATACGGGCGCGACACCGCGCTGGATGCGATGCCTTCGGCTGGGCCAGGCAGGGGAAGACCCAATACTGCATCCAATGTCGAACGTGATGCATATTCCATCGCTGCGGCTGCATGATGCGCCCCGAACCCCAGACCAACGAATTGAGCCTCAGCCCAATGTCCAACGCTGTGGCTGCATGATGAGCCTCGAACCCCAGACCAACGAATCCGCCGTTCACTCCTGACCACCAGTGCGTGGCACATGGCGCTGCTTGGTTGTCTGGAGAGTATCCTGTCCGCCCTCGCTGAAAAAAAACAGCGAAATGTATTCACACCCATCGCTTGAAACTGCCAGCAAAATATCCTCACACCCCTCGCCAAAAACTGCCAGCGACATATCCTCAACACCCTGGCCGAAAAGTGCCCGCGAAATACCCTCACACCCCTCGCTTAAACTGCCAGCGAAATAACCTCACACCCCTCGCTGAAAACTGCCAGCGAAATATCCTCACCCCCTGGCCTAAAACTGCCAGCGAAATATTCGCACATCCCTCGCTTAAAACTGCCAGCGAAATATCCCCACCCCCAGGCCTAAAACTGCCAGCGAGATACCCTCAACACCCTGACTTAAAACTGCCAGCGAAGTATCGTCACAACCTGGCCTAAGACTGCAAGCGAACTATCCTCACACACCTCGCTGAAAACTGCCAGCGAAACGTCCCCACACCCCTCGCTTAAAACTGCCGGCGACAAATCCTCAACCCCCTGACTTGACACTGCCAGCAAAATATCCTCCCCCCCTGGCCTGAAACTGCCAGCGAGATATTCTCATCCCAATCGCTTAAAACTGCCAGCGAAATATCCTCACCCCCCTGACTTAACACTGCCAGCGAAATATCCTCGCACACCTCGCTTAAAATTTCCAGCGAAATATCCATACCACCTGGCCTAAGACTGCCAGCGAAATATCCTCACACCCCTCGATTAAAACGGTCAGCGAAATGTCCCCACCCCCTGGCTTAAAACTGCCAGCGAAATATCCTAAACACCCTGACTTGAAACTGCCAGCGACATATTGTCACTCCCTGGCCTAAGACTGTCAGCGAAATATCCTCACACCCCTCGCTTAAAACTGCCAGCGAAATATCCCCCCACACCCCTCGCTTCAAACTGCCAGCGAGATATCCTCAACCCCCTGACTTGACACTGCCAGCGAAATATCCTAACACCACTTGCTTAAGCTGCCAGCGAAATATCCTCACCCCCTGGCTTAATACTGCCAGCGAAAGATCCTCACACCCACCGCTTAAAACTGCCAGCGAAAGATCCCCACTCCCTGGCCTACAGCTGCCAACGACATATCCTCAACCCCCTGCCCCTAAACTTCCAGCGAAATACCCTCACCCCCTGGCGTAAAACTGCCAGCGACATATCCTCACACCCCTCGCATTAAGCTGATAGCGAAATATCCTCATCCCCCGGCCTAAAACTGCCAGCGAAATATCCTCACCCCCCTGGCCTAAAACTGCCAGCGAAATAACCTCACACCCCTCGCTTAAAACTGCCAGCGACAGATCCTCACCCCCTGGCCTAAAAATGGCAGCGAAATATCCGCACACCCCTCGCTTAAAACTGCCAGCGAAATATCCTCACCCCCTGGCCTAAAACTGCCAGCGAAATATCTTCAACCCCCTGACATAACACTACCAGCGAAATATCCTCACACCCCTCGCTTAAAACTGCCAGCGAAAAATCCTCAACCCCCTGACTTAAAACTGCCAGCGAAATATTATCACAACCCTCGCTCAAAACTGCCAGCGAAAAATTGATACCCCTTAGCCTAAAACTGCCAGTGAAATATCCTCACACCCGTCGCTTAGAACTGCCAGCAAAATATCCCCACCCCCTGACTTAAAACTGCCAGCGACAGATCCCCAATCCCTAAGACTTAAAACTGCCAGCGAAATTTCCTCACACGCCTCGTTCAACACTGCCAGCGAAATATTGTCACCCCATGGCCTAAAACTGCCAGCGATACCTACACGACCACCCTTCGGGTGATAAGGAGGTTCGGGGGGGGAGGAACCAACGTCTCACTCGATCGGTCTCACTATCGATCTCACTATCGATCTCACTATCGGTCTCGTTCGATCGATCTCACTCGATCGATCTCACAATCGATCTCACTCGATCGATGTCATTCGATCGACCTCACAATCGATCTGACGATCGATCTCACAATCGATCTCACTATCGATCTCACCATCGATCTCACAATCGATCCCACATTCGGTCTCACAATCGATCTCACTATCGATACCACAATCGATCTCACAGTCAACGTCATCATCATCAACATCAACATCATCGTCATCAACGTCATCACCATCATCAGCATCACCATCAACATCAACATCAACATCATCATCGGGACACCATCAACATCATCACCCCATCACCATCAGCATCAACATCATCAGCATCACCATCATCATAATCGGGACACCATCATCGTCACCATCATCATCAACACCATCATCGGGACGCCATCATCATCAGCATCGGAACACCACCATCATCATCATCATCTTATCATCACCAGCATGAACAAAATCACCAACATCATCATCATCAGGACACCATCATCATCAGCAACATCATCGTCACCAACATCATCACCATCATCACCGGGACACCATCATCATCGTCACCATTATCATCATCACCATCATCATCATCGGAACACCATCATCATCAATATCAAGATCAGCATCATCATCATCGGGCCACAATCATGAAGCTCATCATCACCTCATCATCATCCTCATCATAAACATCATCATC